GGAGATATGAGGTTCTTTTACGTGCCGTAAAGCTACGACACGGGACCCACGGCTTAAAGTCCCTCCCGGAGGACTTGTTCCCTGAAATTTTCCGCCCTTAAAAATTCCACGACCTCCGCCGGGTTTGAACCCGCGTACCTTGAGTCACGAGGTGGGAACGTTACATAGTTTAAAGTAAATAACACACCTGAGGATGGCACAGTGATGCCGAAACATGTAGTGAAGTGACAAGTGAGATTGTGTGCACTAGAAGACGGTCAATACATACACATCATGGACATGAATCAGTGCAACAGGACGCTAAAATACAACATAAAAACTGAACGAAAAACGCTGTGAAAATATAATTCAGAAGCATATGGTTTTATTCATCGTTAAAACAAGGTATTAGGTCAGTTCCAGAAGGGTGTGACGCAAGAAGGAATTCTATTGAACAACATTGCCTGCCTCCCTGCCTCAGCCGAGACCTACGTGGAATCTAGAACATTCTTTCCCCTTTCTGTGGGAACACCGATGTTTGTTATGCGGCCTGATGTACTGGGGACGTATTTCTTTCCTTGGCACTACAGCCCCAGTGGGCCTAGGCCTACCTCCATGAACTTCTCCGTTCACTTCGGTTTTTCTAGATCTTACACATTCGGTAGGACTCCTTGAGCGGATGATCAGCTCGTCGCAAGGCCTCTACCTGTACACAAACACAGAAAAACGCACACACACAAACTAAACATCCATGCCCTGAATGGGATTCGAACCCACGATCCCAGTTTCCAAGCGAGAGAAGACAGTACATGCCTTAGACCGCTCGGCTACCGTGACCGGCACTGAGGACGTATATACACTTATATTTCGGAAAATGTGATTAATACCACAGACTGAAACTGCATTACGACCTCACTGCAATGCAAATATTGTTACAGTTTACGGCTGCAGTGAATGCGAAATGATGAGACTAACTGGTCATAGGACTCCAATCAAATGTACTGCGCTCCATAACCAACGCCCCATGGTATGTCTCGAACTTCACATTACACAATGATCTTCAAATCCCATTCGTCACAGAAGAAATCAAAAGATATTCTACCATATACCACAACCGACTAAAGGGACACGAAAACAGTTGCGTAACTGAACTAAGCAACCCATTAAACATCAGACGAAGACTAAAACGACAATGCCCCTCAGACTTAAAAGAACACACTAGTTGAAGATGGTAGTCGTACTCAACAACACAATGCATAGTATGCTACATAGGAGAATCATCACTGGATGATCACTCCGCACAAGTGATTTCCTACAACATATTTACTTATTGCTCCATTGTAGAGTAGATTGTAAATTGCAAGAAATAAAAAAAAAAAACTGGTCATAGGGCTACGAAAAGATATGTATGAACACTCAAGAACAAAGAAGCTTATGGCAACGGACGCAATTCACGCGAAGATGTCGTATGAATCCATATGGAAAAGTAAGACCGATCATCTTCAGCTTTTATACCGGTTTGGATATTCATACGAACCACTCCGATGTGACATCAGGATCAAAAATACACAAAGGAAAATTGTCCTTATGCCTAATTAATTAAGTAATATGCCATGAAACGGTATGAGGTGAGAGAAGGTAGCGTAAAAGAAAAAAATATCCCTCTTGGATCAAACTGATACATTACGTCATAACCGAAATATTAGCAAGAGGATGCGGATGAAGTGACAGTGGTATTCGGGACAAGTAAGTGAACAACGTTAATAGCACAGTCGATATAGCGACAGACTAAGGGCTTAATGCCTGAGTTCGATTCCCGGCAGGGGCAAGTGATTTTTCTCGTCTTGACACCGTCCATACTCAGCCTTGTGTCCAATGAGTGCTGGGGGCTCTTTTCCCGGGGGTAAAGCGACCGGGACCTGAAGCTGACAACTCACCTCAATCTACTGCCGAGGTTAAGAATACGTGGAGCTACACCTCCACTCACCCATAATTCTTCATGTCGTTTTGCTTAGGGACTTTACCTTTTTGCTTTTAGAAATACCATTGACTATAGTAAATGAAACACACGATTACAAAAATCACATCCGTGAAATAATTATTTATGCCGATTCGTGAGGTGCAAAATTGTTCCTTTCGGGCTACTAAAGTAATGTATTATGGATTTCGTGTACTGTGCGCTTCTGTTACAGCTGCACTGACTTTCTTTTTACTTGATACACTTGTTCTCCGCTCTACGTCGTTTACTTGAACAATAAGTGAGTATGTAAGGCTTTCACGGCGGTGACTATGAAGAAAGCAGTTTTCTGGGATTTGGCACCGTGTATATGTGGTGTTAACCGACGTTTCGGAAGAACGTATCGCCTCCATCTTCAGGGTAGAAGAAAAAATATATAAGAAATCTGCAAGCGGAGAGACCGTGAGAACCGGTAAAAGCAGACAGATTTCTTATATATTTTTTCTTCTACCCTGAAGATGGAGGCGATACGTTCCTCCGAAACGTCGGTTAACACTACATATACACGGTGCCAAATCCCAGAAAACTGCTTTCTTCAATAAGTGAGTAGTCTAATCCTTCTGTCTGTCATAATATGTGCCTTGTACTATCGCTTTTAAGAAGTAAGTCTATATACAGTAGAACTTGGTTATAACGTCATCAAAGGGACCTAAAAATAGTGTCGTTATAAACGAATGTCTTTGTAACCGAAATGGGCACTTCCACAGTAGCCTTATGTTAGTCACGTAAAAATCTACCAAAAACCGAGTTAAAGTGTTGCATTTTTTTAGTGAAATACGTAGTTAAGTACAGACT